TATGTTGTTACACAAGAATAAATATCAAGTTTTTGATTAGGTTGCTTAATAATAATAATAATTTGTTTTTTTTATTTATTAATTATGTATGGGTATTTTACCCGGTGAGAAAAGATAGTTACTTTTATTGTGTATTAATTGTTTATAAACAATAAATAATAATAAATAATTTTTTTGTTTTTAGTTTGTTTTCATTCAAGTCGTCGACATTTTCTTTCTTTTCTTTTTGTTATACACTTTCAATCATTTTTTTTTTTATATACATAAAATAAAACAAAAAAATTTTAAAATTTGACATTGAAAAATGTAGGTTTTTAGGTAATATAATCGATTAAATCGAAAAAAAAAAAAAAATTATCGATTAATAGGTTAATAATAATAATATTAAAACAGGTACTATTCTTTTCTATTTGTAAATAATCAAACGAAATGGATTGGAAATATTTAATAAACAATTCATTATTATTATTATTTTTTTTTTAGGTATTACTAAATTTATTTGAATTTATCGTTACCATTTTCCATTTTTTTGCGAGGGTTTAAAAGTAAAAGTTTGCGAAAAAAAAAAGAAAAACGACTTTCTAATAACCTTTAATAATTGTTGTTTGCCTTTTTTCATCCTTTTTTATATTATCGTATTAAATAAATCGGTTAGAGTCCCAAAAAAAAAATAAAATAAAATTTCCCATCATGTGTCAGGGACGACTTATTTATTACTTTTAAAAAATAAAAAAAATTAATGTTTTTATTCACCCAAAAAAAAATTTTTCTTTTTTATTTAATTATATAATTTTCTTATTAAAAAAATTTCATCACGAATTTTTTTTTTTTTAAATTATAATCCACCGTTTTAACGGTTTTTTTTTAAAAGAAATTTTCTTGCCATTTTACCTTAAAATAAAAAAATTATTCATTTATAAAGACTTTTTTTAACATGTGGAGCCTACTAACTACACTAAACGTCGTTTAAATAATAATAATAATAATAAAACTCGGTTTGTGTAAAAAAAAAAAAAATTTTTTTGCGAAGAGAGAGAGAGAGAGAGAGAAGATGGAAAGATACCGTGAAAACTGATACATAAAATAAAATAAAATAAATTTTTTCTTTTTTCTTTTCGTTTCTCATCATGAATTATTATTATTATTATTATTAACGTTCGGTAATATATATTTAAATGTCATGAAAAGCTTGATTAACTTGAATTTTTTTTTATCAAAACACAATCGTCGTGTAATTCGAAAGTGAAATTTTTCGTTTTAAAGCTCAAATCGTAAAAATAAAAAACATAATAACAACGTAAACATACATAACAACATAAAAACATAACTTTCTGAATTCCTTATTTAATATTATCATTATTATCACAGGTATCGATTTTCCAACGATAAATGAAAATTTCAAATGGGGAAAAAAAAATAATAAGAATAATTTTCCAGTTTAAAAAAAAAAAAAAAAGGAAAAAATGTTATGGAATATTTAAATTTTTTTTTACTTTAAAACGCTTATGTTAATTTTAAAAAATAATAATGATAATAATGATAATAATAATAATAAGTTTTATTCCATGGTATTTTTATTATTATTATAATTTTTCCATTAAAAAATTAAAATGAAATAGTTGTAATTAAGTGAAGAATGAAAAAAAAAAAAGGAAAGAAACTTACATAATTGTGGAAAATTACAGAAAAAAATATTTAATTTCAATTTTTTTTTAAAGCGTGTAAATTATAGTTAAAACGTGATAAATTATAGACTATAAATTGCTATAAATATATAGCACGTTTAATAAAATTAAAATTAAAAAAAAAAAAAGAATTTAGCATAAATATTAATTTTTAAAGGAGAGAGAGAAACAATTTCGTACGCGTTGTTTGAATTTTAATTTTTAAAAAAATTTGGAATGTAATCATTCAGTCATTCATTCATTCATTCAGTCATTCATTCATTCAATCATCTTAACCCGGATTAAATGATCAAAAAAAAAAAATAATAATAAAATTGTTTTTAGTATTTTAAATATGGCGAATAATAAATAACGAATTTGAATCGGGATAATTAATCGGATCGGTAATTAAAATATCGGATTTTTTTTTTTAACGGTTGGCAACGACGATGGCGACGACGACGACGACATGATTTGAATAATCGTCATCGATGATTTTATTTTTAAAAAAAAAACAATTAAATTTATTGATAAATTTTTACGACGAGTAATAGTAAGAATAACAATGACGTGAATTTTAATTTTTTTTTTCCCCCAAACGGAAAAACGGTTAACGATCATTGCTACCAACTTAAAATTAAAAAAAAAAAACAAACAAACACCGTCATTTTATTATTAATTACAATTTTTTTAATTAAAAATAAATTTTGATTTTCATCCAATTAAAAAAAAAAATATGTGTGCGTATTGACATTTTTTTTTAATTTATATTTTTAGTTTACTTTTTTTTTTTTTTTGTAAACGCGCCTAATTAATTTTAATAAATTTATTTTTAAAAAATTTTTTTAACTTTGCCAATAGCAATGAAAGCTACCCGAATACAGTTATAATAATTATTACTTTTTTTTTTTTTGATGGAAACACTTGTCGAAAGTAATTAAAAAAAAAAAAATTTAATGTATGCGTTTGTACGTTTACAACACAAACACAAACGTCTACCATTTAAACAACAACATAAATTCGATGAGTAAATTTAAAACAAACAAACAAACAAACAAAACTTGAAAAAGTAAATTAAATAAAAAAAAGTTTTTTATTTTTTTTTCGGATGCTCGAGTGTGAACCAAAAAAATTTCCCTTTGGAAAACGTACACGAATATTATCATCATCATCATCGAAAGAAAGTTTTTTGTTTGTTTGTTTAATCGCGCCAAAAAATATTTAAAAAGTTAATTTCAAAAGAAATTTTTTTTTTTTTTTTTACTTGGCAAAAATTTTTTCGCAAAGAAAAAATTAAAACAAATTAATAATTCATACTAGAATGTTCTTTTTTTTTTTTTTTTAATCGTTCGATTTGGCTTTAATTCAACGTTCCCTTAATTAATTAATCATTATTATTATCATCAGTACAACCACAGTAATCACATTTAAAACGTTTAAATAATTAAATTTTTAACAAAAAAAAAAAACGTACGACGCCATTTTGATTTTCACAAAATTGTAACCGTTTTCCCCTTCCTTTTCAATACCATAAAATTTTATTAACGGTTATTATAATTTTATTGATCGATAGTTATGAAACAAGCATAAAAAAAAATATAAATAAATAAAATCAATATATATACATATATATATTTATCAATTAACTAATGATAATAATAATTAATAAAAATTTCACGAAGGCAAACTGCTTTTGCCTTTTAAACAACAAACAACAACAAAAAAAACTTCCTGCCAATAATTGTTGCGATAGGTTTTTAATTTTTTTTTTAAACATTCGGTTGTTTATGTTGCGAAAACTTTTCCAGTTTTAATTATTATTATTATCATTATTATTATTTATATCATCGAGTTAGTAACGAAACTAAAACTTTTGTTTGTGTGTTTGTTGTTATTTACGATTAAGAATCGTATTAAACGAAAAAGTTTGTTATCTTTGAGTTTTTAAAAAATAAATAAATTCAGGTAAAAAATATTTTTTTTAATTTAAAACAAATAAACAAACGGAAAATTTAAGAACGACAACGACAAACAACAACGACAACAAATTTTTTTTATAAGATGATAATTTATAAAACGAAGTGAAAAAAGCAAAAAATTTAATTTGAACTAAATACGTCACATAAATTACGTTTAAAGAAAAAAAAATTTTTTTAAAAATAATAATAATAATAATTTTTATTGATGTCGCCGATACTAATAATAATAATAATAATAAATTAATTAAATTTAATTATATTAATTATAAAAACGTGTGTGATTAAAAAAGAAAAAAAAAATCCAGATTTGTCTTTTGTTAATAAACGACGACAACGAATAAACTCAAATCGAATAATAGTAGTAACGGATTTTCTTTTTGGAAAATCGGAAAAACGAACGGATTTTCCTCGTTGATCGAAAGCTAAACATTAAACTTACACAAACTCTTTATCAATGGACACATAAGCGCGAGTAAATCTAAGGAACGCGTAAATTTGTAAAAAAATAAAATATTAATTGTTATTTTAAAAAAAAAGTATCGTTATCATTATCATCATTATTCCTAACTGAAAAAAAATCAAGTGATAACAACGAGTAAGAGAGAAAGAAAGAGAGAAGAGAGAGAGAGAGAGAGAAAACGGTTATTAAATTATAATAGTAGGTTTAATTATATTAAGTATAAAAGGAGGTGATGTTAACAATTTCATATCAGTTTGTATTGAGTTGAATGCGTTTGTAGTTTGTCTTTTTCTTTCTTTTCTTTTTTTTTCCCCCTTTTTTTTTTTTCTTTTTTTTTACTCCCCATTTTGTTTTTTTTTAAATGAATAAATTTCGATAAAAGTTCGGTAATAACGTCTCGTTTGTTTGTTTGTCGTTTGCCGCTTGTTTTCCGAAAAAAAAAAGAAAAATTCTTTTCTTTTTTTATTTTACTTCGTGTCGTATTAAAAAAAAAAGTGAGTTATTATTATTATTATTATTATTATTATTATTATTATTATTACGAATTCAATAATGAGTTTTTTATTTGTTTCTATAAATTTTACATCATCATCATTATTATTATTATTATTTATTAAATTCTACGAAACTTTTTTTTTCTATATTTAAAATTGTTAACAATAATTACGTAATAATAATTTGTTATTATTAAGTCGATTATTATATATATATATAACAAAAAAATTACTTATTATTATTATTATTAATATATTTATATTAAAAACATTCACGAATAATGATAATGTTAATAATAATTTTTGACCTCATTCAAAAAAAATGAGTAGCTTCTTTTTTTTTTTTTTTTTTTCTGTAACTTTCTTCTGAGGCGTTGACTTTTTTTTTTTTACTTCTTTCACTTCTCCCTACTATATATATATATATATATATATATATTTTTTTTTTGAAAATTGTTTGTTTTCGTTTGTAGTTGTCGTTTGACGTTTGTTAATTAATTATTATTATTATTACTATTACCATTATCTTTAAAATTTTTTTGTGTGTGAACTCGTTTGTTATTACGGTATAATAAAATTGTGTGATTTTGTTTTGTTTTTTTTATTAACAAAAAAAATACGTACGTAAACAAACTTTGACTCACGCCCGGTAAAATAATAATAATAATAATAATAATAATAATAATAATAATAATAGATTAATTAATTTTTTATATTATTGTATTATTTTTTTTGTAATATAACGATAATAATTTTTTTTTTTTTTTAATAAATTATAATTTTTTATAATAATTTTTAATTTTCCATAAACCGAAAGAAGGAAAATTTTTTTAAAAATTATTATTATTATTATTATTATTTTTATATCGATTTACTGTTCAAAGGTCATTGACTGACAGCATCGTTTATTTAATTATAACGATACGTTTTATTGTTTTATTATTAATAATAATAAAATAATAAATAATTAATTTTCGTTATTCGTGACGTAATTTTAATTGATGTTGTTGTTGTTTATAAAAATTCCATAATAACGATTATTCATTAATTTTTTTTTTACGTAAAAAAAAAAAATTTTTTTTAAATGCGAAGGTTTTATTAAATAAATAAATAAATAAATTGAATTATTAATAAAATATCGATTGATTGAAATCAATTAAAGGGGGGGAGGGGTCGACGACACCATGAAAATTTTTTTTCTAGTGCTTTTTGTTGTAGTTTTCTACTGATACTGCAACAACAACAACAACAACAACCACAACATTAAATACGAGTGTCTTTTTTTTTTTTCATTACTTATTTTAATTAAATAAAAGGTTATTTATTTTTAAAATCAAGTTGTTTTACCAGAAAAAAAAACATTCGAATACAGGTTTTATAAGAAAATATTTAATAAAAAACTTTAAATTTTCTTTTTTTTTCTCTCTCTCTCTCTCTCTGTCTGTCTCTCTCTTTAAAGTTATTTTTCTTTTTGCGTTTCAGGTAAAATAATTTTTTTTTTTTTTAAGAAGAATGAAAACGACGTTAATATTTTTTTTTGCATTTATCGCTTGTGCATTTGCTCTAACAATCTCGAGTTATTCAACAAGGTACGAACACATTAATCTAGATGATGTTCTCTATAATAACAGACTTTTAAAAAATACTTATAAATGTATGATCGGAACGGGAAGATGTACAGCAGAAGCCAACAAATTAAAAGGTAAAAAATGTTTGTGTTGCGTGTGTGTGTGTGTGTGTGTGTTGTACGTGCTTACTAATAGTTTTTTTTTTTTTTTGTTATTCAACAGCTTATTTTCCGGACATGTTAGAAACAAAATGTTCAAAATGCACACCGAGACAAAAGAAAAAAATAAAAAAAGCAGTCACATTTTTAATGAAACACAAACCGGAAATGTGGGAAGGATTACTTGATAAATACGATCCGAAAAGAGAATTGTCAAAAGATATGCTAACGGATCCTAATTTTTTGGGTAAAATATAAACAAATGAAAACAAAAACGTGTATGTTCCTCTTCGTGATTATGTTTAAACATTTTTTTTTTTTTATTATTTAATTCTTAAAAAGTTTGTTATAATTTTTGTTTTTTTTTTTTTTTTGTAATGTTTGACGTTTAGGTAACGGTCGGTTTTCATTTCATTTTAATTTTTTTTTTTGAAAAAAAAAAAGATCCGTTAAGCAAACCAAAGGAATGATAATAATAATGATAAAAATAATGTAGGAAAGACTGTTTTCTTTTTTTTTATGATTGATATTTGCTGCTTTAATTTTTCGTTATTATTTAAATTTTTTTTTTTTTTTAATAAATGCGTCGTTAATTTTAATTATTAATTAATAAATAAAATTAATTATAAAATAATTGTTTTTATTTATTTATTTTCCCTAAAAAAATTTACGTTTTTAATTTTTTTTTTTTGTATTTAAAAATGGAAAATATTTTAAATAAATACAAAAGACGAACACGTTTACAATAGGTTTTAAATTAAAGTATTGTCATTTCTCAAAAGTTTCCATTTTATTATTATTATTATTATTCATTTTTTAAATGTATTTTTTACGTGGCATTACTAACTGTATTTCTTTTATCAGTATTCGTGTCGTTAACAACCTAATTTTTTTTTTTTTTATTATTTTTATTTGGTCAAACGAACCTAAACGGAATTTCACTCTTTGAATATTTTTTTTTTATTTTGTCAATGCGTATTTTGTCAACAAACATTTTGTTTGTTTCGAACCTGTAAAAAAAAGTTTATGCTATTTACGATAAGTTTATGTCATGCAAAAAAAACATCCTTGAAATTATTTTTGCGTTAAATAAAATTGTTATTTGATAATTAATTTAATTATATTATAATAATTATTATTAGTAGTTAATAGTTAAGATTTGTATTTACCGAATATATTACATAAATAAAAACACGTGGAATTACGTAATGATTATAGTATCAACTATAAATATAGTTGACTTCTAAATATTATTTTTCATATGCAAAAAAAAACAATTTTATAAAAAAATTACATAATTTTACCTATAATTATACTTTGTATTATCATATTATCATACTTAATTATTAATAATAATACTTTTTATTATTTATTAATACTTTGTAAACGGAAATTAATTAATAATTAAAGAAATGAAATCAATGTAAGTGTTAAAATCTAGAAAAATTTTTTTTGTATTATGTATTACTAAAAATAGTGATAAAAAACCTGGAAGCCAATTTAACGAAATCATTTTTAGAGCAGATAAATTAAATTAGCAAATTACATAAATTTAATTAATAATTTTGGAAGTATATTAAAAATTCTTATTTTATTTTATCCAACAAAACTTTCTCATAAATCCATAAATACTCAAACAGACTCACATTCACCCAAAAAGCCCCAAAAATATACAAAGAGTCATTCAACCACCCACAATTACACGCACACACACACGCGTACACCCGCAACACACATATATTTAAGCTTATATATACCAACATACATGCACCAATACACACAAAAAATCAAAAATATTCCAAAAAAAAACAAACACACGTGTCTATAAATAAGGTATTTGCTTATGAGGAATAATAAGGAATTATAAAGAATTAATAATAATAATATGAGGAATAATAATAATAAACTTTTAAATAAAAATAATTTACGAGTTTATAAATTTTCATTTGCAATTAGTTATACGTACATCTATTGAAAAAAGTCTATACTAATTTTTTTCACTTATTTTATTTTAATAAAAATTCTTTTCAACTTTGTGTGTGTTGAAATACATACTGTGTTTGCTTAAAGTTACACACAGTCATTGTATTTAATTAAATTTATAAATAAAGAATGAAAATTGAATTTTAATTTTTTTTTTTTATCATTTCATTATTATATATTCATATTTTTATATTTCATTATTATATTCATATTTTTATTTGTTTCTTTGTGTTAATCAGTTGCGGTTTACTACAAACACTACACTACTACTACTACAAACTCTATTGACCCTGTATTCGGTTATAAAACAAAGAAATTTCAGTAGAATAAAATTAACAAACGTTTTTCTTATTGTTTAACATCATTTCTCATAAAATATAAAATTTAATGAGACATGAAATATACAAGTAAAGTAGGAAATGAAAAGGGAGAAGGAGGAATATGGAAAACTTTATTATTTTTTATTTTTGGAAAAAATAAAAATTTAAATAATAAAATTAGGTTAAAAAATAAGGGTTAATGCGGGTGTTGAATCGAGTTAAAAATAAAACCGCCGCGAAAAACGTTTATATAAAAAAAATTTATTTATTTTTATAAAAAAAAAAAAAAAAAAAAAAGCATGTATGTGGCACAATGTGGTCGTGTTGTACTGACATTTATTGAACGAGTTTTGTGGCAGAATCTCCATCCAGTTTAGTGGAAAAATTGGCAAATTTGAGATTTAAATATACAACAAATGTAAACTCAAATGGCTTCAGAATCTGGTCAACAACCTTAATTGACCTCTAATAATTGTTTTTTTTTTTTTTTTACTTACATTAACAACGAACACGATTCGATTAAAATTTTTTTTTTAATTTAATGTGTAAAAATATTATTATTATTGCAAAAAAAAAAAAAAAATTTCATCATTTGAGAAGATGGCAAAAAAAAAAATTTATCAAAAAATCAATCTTTATAATAAAAACATTAAATTTTAATTTTAAACTGAAGTCAAGTTCTTTTGCGGTTTTAATAAAAATTAAATCCAAATTGCCGACAGCAAATCATTTTTTTTTTTTTTTTTGAGTTTACATAAACCAGACTAGAATAAAAAAAAAAAAATTTTTTTTATTTTGTTTTTAATGAGATTTGTATGATTTTGCCCGAAGGAACCACTCCTTAACGTTTTTTGTTGTTGTTGTTGTTGTTGTTGTTGTGGTTGTTGATGTTAAATCGAATCGATATTAAGCGTTAAAAAAATTTTTACACATTTTCTTGCCTTTTTTTTCTTTTTCTGTTACGAGCCGCCGTTTTTTTTTTTTTATGAGAGCAAAAAAAAAAGGCAAATAATTTTAAAATGTGTGCAACTGTTGTCATGCAAATAAAAAAAAAAATATTATAATAAATAAAATTAATAAAAATTTTCTGCCTTTTCGAATCATTAAAAAAAAAAACGACCGCCTGTAAACTCATGTTTACTGTTGCCTTTTGTCACCATTACATAAGCTAAACATAAGTTTTTATTAAAAGCAAAATTATAAGTTCGTTGCCTTTGACAACTTTTTTTTTATTTTTCCCATCCGAAATCCTCCACATTCAATAAATTTGGTTTACGATGGTGTTTTCGAACGGTGTTATTAAGTCGTTCCATTGACGTAATGGAAAAAAGGAAAAAATTATAATAATCGAGAGGATAAGGGACGAGAAGAGGAAGAAGAAGTGGAAGAAGAAAAAGAGGTTTTATTCATTGCATTTTTTTTTTTTTATTTTTCACATATCTCGAAAACTGTTTTTTTTTTTTTTAAATTGGTTATTTTTCTTTTGATCTTATGTTTAGATTTCGTATCGTTTTATTTTGACTTTTATTGGCTTTTTCAGGTATATAAACCCGTGGAAGACAGCGAAAAGGTATCATTGCTCAGTTATCTCGGGTAATACAAACACTACAACAAAACAAAATGAAATACATCGTTGCTATCGTTTTTGCCGCTTTGGCCATCGCTTTCGTTTCTGCCGAAGAAACAAAAGCTTCCGTCAGCAGCGCAGGATCACCGACTAAATTCACCACCAAATTTGACGATGTTAACTTGGATGAAATTTTGAAAAGCGAAAGATTGTTAAAGAACTACTTTGACTGTTTGATGGACACCAAACCATGCACTCCAGACGGTACCGAATTGAAAAGTAAGTTTTTTTGATTTTTCTTGTTATTTTTCAAACATTTTTGCGGGGGGATGTAAGAATTTCTTAACCGCAACGCTAATTTCCTATATTTATTTACTCTTTCACCGACTTTTTTTTTCGATTTCGAAGTTATTGTCTCGAAATCCCTATTCCGAAAAAAAAAACATTCATTCCTTTTACTAAAAAATTACCATTTGAAAATTTACAGAATCCCTCCCGGTTGCTTTGAAAGAAGAATGTGCCGGATGCAGTGAAAAACAAAGAGTAGGAGCCGAAACTGTTATTCACTACATTTCCAACAACAAACCAGAACTCTGGAAGGCTTTGGAAGACAAATACGACCCAGAACAAGTCTACAGAACCAAACACGCCGATTTTGCCGCCAAAAAAGGAATCAAAGTTTAAATTGTTGACGACTCAAGCTATCCCTCCGTTCTAAATAATTTTATTTATTAAATTTCAAATAATTTCCTTCTTTTTTTTCAAAATTTTTTAATTTATTATGTTTATTTTCGGTTAATTAATAAAAATTTTACAGTAAAAAAAAAAAGATTTTTTACTTTATTTTATAAAAACCTTCTTTTTACACACGTACACACACA